AGCAGCAGCAGCAACAGCAGCAGCACGAGCATCATGATTTGTCCGAAGCAGATGAAGAGGACAACGATCTCGACCAACAGCATCAGCAGCAACAGCAGCAGCAGCAGCAGCAGCAGCAGGAAGGTATATGCAGCAGCGTAGCAACAGTATCTTTGCTGCTGCAGCAACCAGAGAGGCGACGTTTGCTGCTGAGCAGAGCAGCAGCAATTGAATCTATTCGTTCTTTATTAAATAATCATGGTTATCTACCTGTAGATACACCCTATTTGCTGCGAGCACAACAGCAGCAGCAGCAGCAGCAACAGCAGCAACAGCAGCAGCAGCAGCAGCAGCAGCAGAATGTTGCTGCATCAGATACTGCGCGTCTCTTTTCTTCGCGACTAAATGCAGTAAGCAGCAATAGCAGCAACAGCAGCAGCAGTAGCAGCACCACCAGCAGCAGCAGCAGCACCAGCACCAGCACCAGCAGCAGCAGCAGCAGCAGCAGCAGCAGCATATGTTGTTTCTGCTGCAGACAAAGACACGCCTTGTTCTTCGCCAAGCACCAGAACTAAATCTTAAGAAACTTATTATCTCTGGTGTAACTGATAAGGTACCTGCTGCTGCTGCTGCTGCTGCTGCTGCTGCTGTTGGTGCTGCTGCTGCTGCTGTTTGTGCTGCTGCTGCTGGTGATGGTGTCATATGGATATATTTGCTGCTGCACTACCTCTAGTTGCTGCTTGTTTTGCTGCTGTTGCTGCTGCTGTTGCTGTTTTTGCTGCTCTATGAATATATATCCAACAACAACACCACTAACACCACCTGCTGCTGCTGCTGCTGCTGCTGCTGCTGCTGCTGCTGCTGCTGCTGCTGCTGCAGTTATACGAAATAGGGCGCTGCTTTAGGAACGAAGGACTATCTTGGCGTCATTATTATGAATTTACTTCTATAGAAATATATAAAACATTTGCTGCTGCAGCAGACATGAGGAGAATTGCGCAGCAAATTGTTGCTGCTGCTGCTGCTGCTGTTGCTAAGCATGCACCTATAAATGAAGAAACATTAACAGCAACAGCAACAACAGCAGCAACAGGAAAATCACCAGCAGCAACAATTGGGGTAACAAAAGATGGTTTGTTGCTGCTGCAGCAGCAGCAGCAGCAGCAGCAGCAAGAAGAAGAAGAAGGAGGAAAAAGAATAAATAAATATATTAATTTATCTCTTCCTTTTAGGGAATTTAATTATTTTTATTTAATTAAACAATTTACTAATATAGATGTAGTACATCTTACTCATCAACAGGTCAGCAGCAGCAGCAGCAGCAACAGCAGCAGCAGCAGCAGCAACAGCAGCAGCAGCAACACTAGCAGCAGCAGCAGTATCCGTTCTATCCTGCTGCTGCTGCTGCTGTTGCTGCTGCTATATGTGTGTGTTTTTCTCAGGCCCTTCGTGAGACGGAGCTTCTTCTGCAGCGCCACCGCCAGCAGCAGCAACAGCAGCAACAGCAGCAGCAGCAGCAGCAGCAGCAGGAGCAGGAAGAAGAAGAAGAAGAAGAAGAAGAAGAAGAATTACCTATAAATTGTTATTTATATAAATCTTATTTATGCGAATATTTATTCAAGAAATTTGTTGAGAAAAAATTAATTTATCCAACATTTGTGCTGCACCCCCCTTTGCTGCTCTCTCCTCTTGCTGCTGCTGCTGCTCCTCCTGCTGCTGCTGCTGCTGCTACTGCTGCAGCAGCAGCAGCAGCAGCAGAGGATATAGCAGCAGCAGAAAGATTTGAACTTTATATTGGAGGTATGGAGATTGCTGATGGATATTCAGAGTTAGCTTGTCCCCTGCAGCAAAGAAAAAGGTTGCTGCTGCAGCAGCAGCACAGCAGCAGCAGCAGCAGCAGCAGCAGCAGCAGCAGAAGCAGCAAAAGCAGCAAAAGCAGCAGCAGAAGGAGAAACAGAAACAGCAAGGAACAGGACGATGAACCGGAGCTCGCAGCAGAGACAGAGGTATGCTATTGACACCCGCTGCAGCAGCAGCAACAGAAGCAGCAACAGCAGCAACAGCAGCAACAGCAGCAGCAGAAGCAGCAACAGCAGCAACAGCAGCAGCAGCAGCAGCAGCAACTGTCGTAATAATCACATAGCATAGATAAAATAAATAAATAAATAAATAAATAAACTAATTAATTAATTTAATGACTAAATAAATAAAATTAATTAACTAGCTAATTAAATATAATTAATTAAATATTTATATTTATATTTATATATGTATATGTATATATACGTATGTACGTATGTACGTATGTACGTATATGTATATGTATATGCATATGTATGATGTATATGTATATGTATATGTATATGTATATGTATATGTATATGTATATGTATATGTATATATGTATATATGTATATATGTATATATGTATATATGTATATATGTATGTATGTACACGTATGTGTATAATAAATACATAAATACATATAAATATACTAATTAATTAATTAATTAATTAATT